TGATCATGTGGTTTTTCTTTTTCAGTTTGTTTATATGGTGGATTACATTGACAGATTTTTTTTATGTTGAACCATCCTTGCATCTCTGGGATGAAGCCTACTTGATCATGGTGGATGATTTTTCCTAATGTGTTCTTGGATTCGATTTGCCAGCATTTTATTGAGCATTTTTGCATCAATGTTCATGAGGGAGATTGGTCTTTCTTAGTTGTGTCTTTGTGTGGTTTGGGTACCAAGGAAATTGTAGCCTCATAAAAAGAGTTTGGAAATGACTCTTCTGCTTCTATTGTGTGGAACAATTGGTAATAGTTCTTTGAATTTCTGGCAGAATTCTGCACTGAAGGTATCTGGTCCTGGGCTTTTGGGGTTTTTTTGGAGGGTGGGTTGGGAGACTTTTGGTGACTGCTTCTATTTCATTAGGGGTTATAAGTCTGTTTAAATTGCTTATCCTTTCTTGATTCAATTTCAGTAAGTTATTCCTATCCAGAAAATTGTCCATTTCCTTTAAATTTTCCAATTTTGTGGAGTACAGGTTTTCAAAGTATGACCTGATGATTCTTTGGATTTCCTCAGTGTCTGTTGTTATGTCCCCCTTTTTCTTTCTGATTTTGTTAATTTGCATATTCTCTCTGATTCTTTGTATTGTTTTCTTCATTTCGATTTATTGATTTCAGCCCTCAATTTGATTATTTCCTAGCCTCTACTCCTCTTTTGTGAGTTTGCTTCTTGTGTTCTAGAGCTTTCAGTTGTGCCGTTAATTCTCTAGTGTGACTATTCTCTAGTTTCTTTACGTGCTTTCAAAGTGTCCCATAAGTTTGGGAATTCATTTTCATTGAATTCTAAGAAGTCTTTAGTTTCTTCCTTTACCCAGGGGTGATGCAATTGAGCATTGTTTAACTTCTATGAAACTGTAGGATTTCTGCAATTTGTTGTTGTTGAATTCTAACTTTAAACCATGGTGATCTGATAAGATACAGGGGGTTATTCCAAATTTTTTTTTTTTTGTATCTGTTGAGGTTTGCTTTGTTGCTGAGTACGTGGGTGATTTTAGACAAGGTTTCATGAGGTGGTGAGAAGAAGGTATATTCTTCTGTGTTTGGATGAAATACCCAGCTACTACATCGACTCAGCCCCATCTACACCTCCAATGGGAGGAGCATCCACCAGAGCTGTAGCCCCCCACCTGCACCTCAAGGAGTGACAACCTGAGAGCATTGGGCCCACTTGCACCAGGAAGACAATTCACCAGAAGTTCTGCTCTACTTGTGCCTGAAGGAGAGGTCAAGGGAGCCACAGCCCCCAACTATACCAATCTGAGAAAGAGAGGACACCTGAAACACAAGCTCCACCCATACTGATTAGAGGAAGAGATGCGTAGACGACAGGGTCAGAACACAGTCAACAATATAAAGAGCAATATGGCACCACTAGAAACTAGCGGTGCTACAACAGCAAGACCTGAACATCCTGACACAGAGGAAGCAGAAGAAAATGACCTTATGCGGATGACTTTATGAGGATGATTGAGGCTCTTAAAGAGGAAATGAAAAATGAAATGAAATGAAAAATTTCCTTCAAGAAATGGAGGAAAATGCCGGGCATTGATGGCGCACACCTTTAATCCCAGCACTTGGGAAGCAGAGGCAGGTGGATGTCTGTGAGTTCGAGGCCAGCTTGGTCTCCAGAGTGAGTGCCAGGATAGGCTCCAAAGCTACACAGAGAAACCCTGTCTCGAAAAACCAAAAAAAAAAAAAAAAAAAAAAAAAAAGAAAAAAATGGAGGAAAAAACAAAAAAAAAATTGGAAGATATCAACAAATCCCTTAAAGAAAACCAAGAAAAAACAATCAAACAAGCGAAGGAAACAATTCAAGACATGAAATCTGAAATAGAGGTGATAAAGAAAACACAAACCGAGGGAATTCTGGAAATGGAAAATCTGGGTAAACAATCAGGAACCACAAATGCAAGAATAAACAACAGAATACAAGAGATGGAAGACAGAATTTCAGCACTGAAAATAACTTGGAAGAAATAGATTCATCAGTCAAAACTATAAACATACAGAATAAAGAAAGAATATCAAAAGCTGCAAAGGAGAAAGGCCAGGTAACATATAAAGGCAGACCTATCAGAATTACACCTGACTTCTCAACAGAAACAGTGACAGCCAGAGGTCCTGGTCAGAGGTGATGCAGACACTAAGGGACCAATGGATGCCAACCCAGACTACTTTACCCAGAAAAGTTTTCAATAATCATAGATGGAGAAAACAAGATGTTCCATGATAAAACCAAATTTAAACAATACCTATCCACAAACCCAGCCCTACAGAAAGTACTAGAAGGAAAATGCCAACCCAAGGAAATCACCTACATCAACAAGAACACAGGAAATCGATGAGCTTACAGCAGCAAACTCCAAAGAAGGGAATTGAACACATGATGCTATCACCAACAACAAAAACAAAAGTAACAAGAACTAGCAATCATTGGTCATTAATATCCATTAATATAAATGGCCTCAATTCACCTATAAAAAGACACAGGCTAACAGATTGGATACAAAAACAGAATCCATCATTCTGTTGCATACAAGAAACACACCTCAAACTCACAGACATTACCTCCAAGTAAAAGGGTTAGAAAAAAAATTTCCAATCAAATGGACCTATGAAACAAGTTTGTGGGGAAGAATAGGGGAGAGCAGGATGAGAGATACCATATTAGAGGGAGCCATTATAGGTCCAAGGAGAGATCTGGCACTAGGGAGATTTCCTGAGACCTACAAGGATGACATGAACTGACAATCTAGGCAATGGTGGAGAGGATAGCCTAAATGCCCTTTCCCTATAATGAGACTGATGACTATTTTTTATGCCATCCTAGAGCCCTCATCCAGTGGCTGATGGAAGCAGAGGCAGACACCCACAGCTATACACTGATCTGAACTCTGGAACCTAGTTGCAGAGAGGGAGGAATGAAAATCAAAGGGGTTGGTAGCAGGCTGGTGAAACCCACAGAAACAGCTGGCCTGAACAAAAGGGAGCACATGGACCCCAGACTGCTGTCTGGGAGACCAGTACAGGACTGATCCAGACCCCTGAACATGGATGTCAATTAAGAGGCCTCTGCACTCAGGGGGGCCCTGGTACTGGATTAGTATTTTTCCCTGGTGTAAGAAGAGACTTTGAGAGTCCATCCCACGTGAAGGGATGTACTCTTGGCCTGGACACATGGGGGAGGGCCTAGGCCAGGCCCAGGATGATGTGGTAGACTTTGGGGAGTCCCCATCGAGAGCCCTACCTGCCAGGGGAGTGGAGGGTGGATAGGTGGGGGGTAGGACGGGGGGAGGGGTGGAGAGGTGGTGGGAAGGGAAGGAGAGGGGGAAGGGATTGACGTGTGAAACAAGCCTGCTCCTAATTTGAACTAATAAAAAAAAGAAAAGAAAAGAAACAAGCTGGTGTTGCTATCTTAATATCTAACAAAATAGACTTCAAAATAAAATCAATCAAAAGAGATAAAGAAGGTCATTTCATATTCATCACAGGAAAAATCCATCAAGAGAAAAATCTCAATTCTGAGCATCTATGCCCCAAACACAGGGCTACTGCATTTGTAAAAGAAACATTACTAAAGCTTAAATCACAAATCAAGCCCCACACACTAATAGTGGGAGACTTCAACATCCCACTCTCCCCACTGGACAGGTCTGCCAGACAGAAGCTTAACAGAGAAATATGGGAACTAACAGATGTTATGACTCAAATGGCCTTAACAGACATCTATAGAATATTCCACCCAAGCACAAAAGAATATACTTTCTTTTCAGCACGTCATGAAACCTTCTCAAAATCAACCACATACTTGGTAACGATGGAAACCTCAAAAGATACAAAAAATTGGAATAAACCCCTGTACACTACAGCTTAAAGTTAGAATTCAACAGCAACATTAATTTCAGAAAGCTCGCAAACACGTGGAAACTGAACAATAATCAACTGAACCACCACTGGGTCAAGGAAGAAATAAGAAAAAAATAAAAGCCTTTCTAAAATTTAATGAAAATGACCGCACAAAATACCTAAACTTATGGGGCACAATGAAAGCAGTGCTGAGAGGAAAGTTCATAGCACTAAATGCCTACATAAAGAAGCTGGGAAAAATCCCACATTAGTGAATTACCAGAACAACTGAAAGCACTAGAACAAAAAGAAGCAAACTCACACAGAAAGAGTAGATGGCAAGAAATAGTCAAAATGAGGC